TGTTATTAGAAGGCGGTAGTTGAAAAAGTTACATTAAACACTGCATTATAATCCATGAGAGAAGAAGACTGGTAATTATCATACATCAAATAGTGAAATTCAAGTTAATTGAAGAAATCCAATTCAACCTGGTGCGAAATGTTATGCTCAGAGTATTTTTATTTCATCTTATTTCAGCCTCACTGCAAACTGTCTTTCAGAATAGATCCATTACTGCAATACAGGCTCAAATGTACCAGCTCTACTCCAGCTCAAGTGGACTAAGGCAGTCGATGGTGAGAGAGAGACAGAGAGAGAGAGGGGCATAAAAAATAGCCAGGATTTGATTTCAGGGACACACCCATCTCCGTCCAGCACTACCTTTCCGTTATCCTCCCTTTCCTGAGCTCCACTCTACACACACAGTGCCCCCCGGTTCACTCGCCCTCAAAATTACACCAGATGTCACGTCAAAGTCCACAGTCCCACAGCCAGATGAAGAATGTGAGAAATTCTGGAAAATATTTAGAGTACTGAGGTAAAGGTTATAGCGCTCAAGCCTTAATGAATGACTGTGTGACTGGCTAATGTAATACTATAGCTGCTAATGGCTAAGACTATGGCAGAGTTAATGCTCTGAACTGCTTTGTGCTGATTCGCTTAGGTCAAGAGGTGATAAGAGGTTGCAGATTAAGAGGTTGTGACAAAGTATATTCTGGTAAACATAATTATACTGAGCTGATGTAGAAATATGAAAGAAATTGGAAATCAATTTACGGCTAAGATGCAAACTTCTAATAATACAAGATTAAAACTTTGAGCAATCCACTAATAGATTTAATTTATTTCTTTCAAACATAAGAGACCGCTTGATCTCACACTGTTTTGGTGTCAAAGTAACTTAGCAGCGGTGTCAATAATAAAAAAACAAAGAATGCTATGCCCTATTCTGGAGAGTGGATTGTATTTATAGTGTGTAGGGCTTGCGTGTGCTTCTTATAGACTTGCTAAATCAAGTCAGCTGAACATTGCCAAAGTGAAATCAGCTCACGATGCTCACCGCTCAGCTGCCAATGTCAAGTCACTCCACAACTGCACCATTGTGTTTCAGCATGTCTTTATAATGTAACGCTATTTATTATGTTTTTCTTTACTTGGAACACTGTATTATGAATCTATAATCTACAACATGTGAACATAAGATAAAAGATGCACCTTATTTTAGGCTATTTTCACATCATTCTTGGTAACATGCAGTTCAATGGCTGCAATTGGCTCTAAATCACCCAAGATGTCTTTTATGCAAACACTTCCATTACGGGTCAAGGCCTGAGGCAAAGTGACCGTAAAGCAGCACCCTTCTATAAGCTGTCAATGTGTCTGACACCAGCTGGCAGATAGGACCAACTTAGCAATAATAGGATTTTTATGCATTAATTTTACGATGCATCTTGTGTGTATCCCTTATTCTTCAATCGGGTCCCCTGATAACCCCAGCTTTTTATACTAGCCTTTCTCCCTTCTCTGCCACCTCCACCCTCTCTCAAGACCCCCATATGTACTGCTGAAGTGGGGCGACGCTAGCAGACAACCACGCATTTAGCATGACAAAGAACAATCTGTGTGAACACAGCGTTGGTGTGTGTTTTGGAGCATGCAAACTGTATGTGTCCCCAAAGAGCCCGACACCGAATGGAGCTGCAGGAAGTTAAAATCACATCTGCATTTATACAAGACCAGATGAAAAGCAGTGTCCCTAGTTGAGGTTCTTTAATTGACAAAGCAATATAAAAGCCCACTGGAAAACTTTGAGGTTGTGCAAGAAAATGTGCATTTAATCTACTCCATTTGTAACATCCGGGCCAATAAAAGCTAGCTCCTGTGTGGTAATGCTGTGTTTTATTAGCAATGTTAAACACTAGAAGAAGTGCAATGGAGCTAAAGTGCACAACAATACAACAAGCTACACAAATGTTACTTTTCTTTAACCGATGAGTACAAATGTTGACTCTTGCAGTACTACAATACTTCTACTAAGAACTGCTATTACTTGTACACTAAATTAGACCCTACTTCAGCAATATCTCAACTACAATAGATGCCACTTTCAACTTCTAGTACACACACAGATCTGGGCACAGAACACTGAAAATGCCCTTTCCTCTTTGGGCATTATGAAAATGGTCAAAAGTAGAGGTTAAATCAGTCCCTTTCAATTGTACTTAACATAAACAAAAGTATCTAGTTGCACTCTCTATCCACGCTGATGCTCAATAATTTCGTCATTATGGTATTCCACCTGCTCCTGTAAAGCCCGGTCAGCCGAGGGTCCCTGCTGGCTATTGGAGCGGCATTCCCTTCTACAACACATGCTTAAGCAATTATTCCACACATTCCCCTGGACGGAGCAGCATATAGAGATACAGAGGTAGGAGGAAAGAAGGGGGAGAGAGAAAGAGCCATTTCAAGTGGAGGGATCAGGGGCAGCTGGCCAGGGATTTGCAAAGTTCTGGAGGTGAATGTGTAGAAGTTAAATGCAACCCGCCTAATCCTTTTCCAAATTGCAGAACAGGATTTAGAAAGGGAAAAAGGGGTGGGGGTAAGGGTCCCAACTCAAAAAGAGGGGTACAGTGACAAGAGCCAAAAACAAACGCTCAATACGCACTGGACGCTCATGGAATAACAAGTGACAACGGCAAGTTTTGGAGCGGTACATAGCTGAAATGGCACGTCTCAACTTTAGGGTCAAATGAACAAGGATATGGGGCAAATAAAGGGTGATTGGTTATTTAAAGATTTAAAGGTTTCAAATTCTTAAAACATTCATGCCCGAGGCGCCTTGGCAGCAAAAGCATCAACACTCAAATCCCAATGGAATCCAGTGAACTTTGAAATGGACACTATATTATGTAATAACATAAAGGTAAAAACAAAACAAAAACAAAAAATGCAGTAAGTTAAATATAATAATATCCTTAATGAACAGTGAATAGCCTATTACACTTACAATGCACCTATGACAGATGACATGAACATCCTCAGCACGCTTGTATCAAGTTAAGGTGTATGTGTAGACTATTATCAAATGTATGCCATTGTTCTTTAGTAAAGCAGTTGGCAATATGAACATTTGTGCTGTGCGATAAGGGGATGCTGGAGATATGGTTTTGTACGCTCCTTGTAGATAAGACTTTATTCTTTTAAATCGATAAGTCTTTTATGGTTAACTCAAAGAAAGCGCGGGTCTCTATAACGCATTTACTGTTTGGCCTTTCATTCTTATGTAAATCCTTTCTGCCTGGCGACATGCGTGTTTTGTATACAGAGCACATCAGCTGATAAAAGGTCACAATGAAATGTTAAACTCAAAAACTCCAGCGCTTGTGTGAACTTACCCAGCAGCAGGCAGAAGATGTCGAGAGCTATGAGCATTTTCTTCTTGCTGTTGTCAACACCATTGTTGTTGTTTAACGTAGAGGTTCCTCCGTTCCTTGTCTCTTGAGCCATGGCTTTCTCGTACTTTTGCATTTGAAAGTGTCCCTGTTCTGTCTCAAAATACCGCACCACGCGGTTGACGGCTGAGTTCTTTGCCAAAGTTTAAGTCCGTAAAACAAGTGTCACAAAAGCAGATCTGGTAAACCAACAGATGCGTCTTTTTCTCTCGTATCGTATCTTTTTCAGTACTGACAACAATTTAGCAAGTCAAAACAAAACGCGCGTGACCAGCTCAAAGAGTGAAGTTGCCTGTGAACAAGATGAATGGAAAGCCCGCTCCCCTTTCTTCGTTGTTGGTTCAAAGACTCTGAGAGAGTGCGAATTGCTGCGCGCATCGACAGACGCTCTTGTTTTATCAATCCTCCTTCGCCTCCTCCCCCTGCTCTCTTCAAGTTCCCCAGTGGCTCCAGGCTCAGCCCTCTTCCCTCTGCTAGCGGTGGGTAGCCTCTTCCATCCCACATGGAAAACTTTCTCACACTGTAGAGCCGCGCGGCAAGCGTGGACTGGAGCCGCGCGTAAATAGTGCCCCTAGCGGTGCGTTTTAGTCGTGCAAAAAAGGCTGTTCTGTAATGGTCATAATACAATACTACTGTTTACATTGAGTTAACTGGTCATGACACAGAAATGATGTTACTTCACTTTCAGCTTTGTGTTTCAAGAAGTAGTCTTATTGCCCATAGAGAGTACTGGCTTCAACAGGTCATTTAAATCAATACGTGGCTCTTTTCTTCCAGGTTTTATTTAGCGTGGAATTCTCCCTCAAAATAGTCCTGTAAGTAAGTCATGTACTTTTTTTTTTTTCTTTAACGGGTTAACATTTTGGGAATAAAGCACAGCACTTATGGACATATAATATTTTAAAATATAAGATATACTTAAATATGCAAGCTGAACATAATAATGGCTGCCTCGTAATATTAAAATGCATTACCTGGACAACTCAGGGATTTCACGAAAATTGTGTTTTCAAATGTATTAAAATCAAAATGTTGCTGAGATTATCGTAATATACTGTCCTTGACATGTCCGCCATCTAGTGGTCACAAATGCTAAACTCAAATTAAGGTCAGTCGATGGACAATATTGTATGTAACCTTTTACCTATTTAACTTTAGCCCACTTTATAGAGGAAAAAAGGTGCAAAAATATAGCCATATTTATTATAAAAAATATAAATACATAAGGTTGGGGTCATCATACTATTCAATTTCATTAACATGTCTATTTGTGGCTTAAAAATAGACATATTTACATATAGGCATATTGGTATTTTAACCTATTGAAGCAAGCTTTTACGCACGCTCTTGATAGCACATATATCAGAACTATGTGGTGGTGGATCCCAGTCCGTGATGGGAGGATTTTAACTGTTTAAAATACTTAAATATCTGGAAGGCAATGGCCCGACTGAAGTGATCGCTCTTGGTGCGCTCATCCGGGTATATCTCTCAATATGTTGCGCGTTACGACAGATTATCCGTCTTGGAGAATCGCCTTTTCTTTAATTTATTGGCTGCCGCGCCACTGTCCTCCCTACAAACCTGACTATGCATTTCCAGAGATCGCCCGCATGAATCCCTCTTCCCAGGAGCGAGTGAGCGACGTACCCCGCCCCTCTGCGCGCCCCGTCGGGAGGCAGACAGCACACCCACCAAAGAGAACCCAGCCGAGTCGGTAACGGGAGAAGATGGCAGAGCGGCAACAACAGAAACACGAAGGCAGGGTAAAAATCGGCCATTACATCCTCGGCGACACGCTCGGAGTGGGCACGTTTGGAAAAGTGAAGAGTTAAGTGATTTCTTTAACTCGTGTCGTGGAGAATGCGTGCGTTTGTTTGTGTCAGGTGGAGTATACAGTATATGAAGTATCGCCCCCCTTTACGGAGAGTGCTGAAGTTACCGGTGGTCTGTAGGTGCGTAGCGTAGCTGTCTTGGCTTACAACTGCAGCGGAGGGGATTTAAAGCGTAAATTCGCTTAGTGAATGCGACAGTTTCAAAGTCAAATTCTTTTCGCCGAAGCCCCCAGACGCGTATCTGTGTGCGAGTATGGCAGGTGGAATTACCTGGGGGATAAACGCTCGCCTACCAAAATATGCTCTGTTTCACAGAGTTGTTAGTGATAACATTCTCTGTATTTGCAGAGTGGTAGTTTTCCCTTGACCTGCCTGGCGTAAAGGGCATTTGAAGCTTACCAAAAACAGGCGCACACGTTTCTTTACACATTTATTACGCGAGCAACGTAAATATTTGACGTATTGTTACAACATCGGCCCTTCAGTAGTGTCTGGCACCGATAATCAGTGGGGAAACCACCCAAACGTAAATAAATACACATGGGGCATTCATGTTGCCTATTTCAGTGCACTTGACATGCCCTTGTGGTTTTGGCTCCAATTTCAAAATAAAAACAATTATGACCATAAGCGGCATCTCTCTACTCACCAGTGAATCTTGTTTTTCTTAGTTACATTGTAATATCGCCACGCTTTTTATTGAGAGGGGATTTTACTGTTTGTCACAAAACCAAAGCCTCAACATAAGTAGTCATCAAATAAAGCCAAGGAAAGTGCCTGCCATGTTTTCTAGGAAAAAGGATTTAGTATAGGATTAGCTCCTTTTTACCAGTGTCTTTCCCTGTCTATCTCCCATCTTTATCTCATCTGTGCTGTTTGTATTGTACCCTCACTGCTGCCGCTGCTTCATATCTGCTTTATTCTGCTTTTAGTCGGCGAGCACCAGCTGACAGGTCATAAAGTGGCAGTGAAGATATTAAACAGGCAGAAGATCCGCAGTCTCGATGTAGTGGGAAAAATCAAACGGGAAATTCAGAACCTCAAGCTCTTCAGACATCCACATATTATCAAGCTGTGAGTGCAATCGTCCTTTTGCCTGCTACATGATCCATAAATATTCTATAATGATACCATAATATGGGCCTGTGCCATTTCCAGCATTAGCCAACTTTGTTTACCATTATCACCGAGTTTGTTTACCATTGTCTCCCACATGGTTCCTAGTATTCTGAGTGAAGGAACTTGATAAACTAGATTAGTGGTTCTCAAACTGTGGTACAAGTTCAACTGAGCGCTTTTTCTAGTGCAATGTCAATTTTTCCAGCAAAATTCATCAAATCATATCACTATTTTTGTGTAGTTTCAGACACAATTGACAAAAATACTGACTATGACAAAATTTGACACAAATTAGCTTCATTGTCAGGTATTACCTACCTTTACCTTTAGTCATGGATTTTAACAATAGGTTAGTTCATTTTATTTTACACCAAAGTTCCCATGAAACTATTTTTTTTTAAGTTGCAATTTTAGTTTGGAAATTGCTTCACATAATAATGACAATTCTAAATCCCAATCCAATCTTACCACATGTTGTTAATGATTTTAGGCTCCCTTGTGTTAAATTTGTCCTGACCTTCAGCTTTCCTCCTCCTTGCCTATGTGACTCTCAACATGCTTCATGATATTTTTAGTCGTGGGTTAGGGTTTGTCGACTCTCATGTTAGCTATGGCAATAACGTGGATTGCCAGATCACAAGCTGTTGCATGTTGCTATACATTCACAGACGTGTACACATAAACATTTGGGAGAATTGTGTATCGTATTACTCTTGGTGTATTTTAAACCTTTGGTCAACAAATCAGACTCAAAACACTATTGTAGCCTATGTGTGTGTGTCGCTAAATGGTATCCCAGCTCTTAGCTATAAACATCAGTGACCACATATCAGAAAAAAAGTTTAGTTAATAATAAATACAGAGCAGTCCATTCAGCGTTGTCCCCTTTCTGACTGGGTTTTGTTTGGACACCCTGGTTTCCTCCATCAACCAAAACCTATTAGGCTAGTCCATTATCTTTGTTGCTTTCTACTGATAAGTTGCTCATGATTTGCTGTAGCAAGTAGAGATGGGCAGGTCATAAAAATGTAATAACATTGTGAATGCTATTTTGAAGATATGCAAACTTTGAATATCAAGAATATTAATTACTATAAAGATGAAATGATTAAAGATGAAAATAAAAATTTAAAAACTGTAAACTTCCAAAAAGTTTTGTGGATAATTTAATAGTTATTTCACATTTCTCTGATACTAAAATCCCAACTTAACATGTTTATGTAGGATTTACTTATCACTGTCTGAATATTGTCTAGTTTTTTTGTCATTATTGGCATATTGCCCATCCCTAGAGGAAAGTTGATAAAACCAAAGTCTTAGAAACACTACCAGTAATAAAGTGCTATGTCACTAGAGCATCCATTTGTGTGACTGGATCTGTAAATAAACCTGACCTTTTAGATGATTCTGTGCTGGAAGCTTCAGTGACAAGGATCAAGGCTTTGTTTGAACTCTGTATGATTGTGTTGGCAGGTACCAGGTGATCAGCACTCCCACGGACTTCTTCATGGTGATGGAGTATGTCTCTGGAGGTGAACTGTTTGACTACATCTGCAAACATGGAAGAGTAAGACAAGTTTCAGTTTTTTTTAAAAAGACATAATATGCTTTCAATTAGTGAAATACACGCCCCTTATTCATACATGGATATACTGTCCTTCAGGTAGAGGACACAGAAGCGCGTCGCCTGTTTCAGCAGATCATCTCAGCCGTAGACTACTGCCACAGACACATGGTGGTGCACAGAGACCTCAAGCCTGAAAATGTCCTGCTGGATGCAAACAAAAATGCCAAAATTGCAGACTTTGGTAAGTACTTTATTGATTTAAAATTTGTTTGAGTTGCAATATGTAACCTGGGCGGGTTCCACCACATGCTTGTCTGGTGTGTTTATGGCCCAGAAATACCTTAGAAAAAGGTGCATTTTTACTGTGAGTGAGGCTGCCTCTCCACAGATCTAACCTATAAGTAGGCCTTGGGGCATCACCTGCTTTTGCTGATGGAGGTAGAAAATGAATATTTAATGCCATACTGTGGAATATTGTAGGTGAAATAATAACATCTCCTTGGAGACTGGAGCTGGTGACATCGTCTTCTCCAGATTGTGGGTAACGATCAACAGATGGTCATAGAAGATGTTCCTTATTATTATATAAATCTTGACTTAAATAAAGCTTAAACTGTGTTAGATGCACAATGTGGAAAACATTTTATTGTTGAGTCTATTTTATGCTATAGGTCTGACCCTCCTCAGTCTGCTAATAAAAAGAATATAACACACACTGAAACACACAGCTCTCTAAATTTATACCACAAAATTGAATTTTAGATTTAATTCAGCACAACAGCCTTTTAAATCATCACCCTGCCCCTCCTGACCTTATAATAATGTAGAGTACATTATTCCCACTTTATGGCAGATTGGTGCTAACATAATTAATCAGCCTTGGTTTTGACACTGGAGCTGATGCAATATGACCCCGTTAACAAGAAATATTTCCTAAAATACAAGGCTGTCCTCTCTGCAGGGTGTGCGCGGTATGTTCCCTTAGCAACGCACTGGATCATATCAGGCCTGGCAGGAAGCCTTGAGGCCCCGTGTCATCTGATATCTGATAGGAGAGGAGCGAAAGGAGGGGGGGGGGGGGGGGAGGGGGGGGGCTGGGTGTTTTGGCTGACACTCGTGTGTGTTAAAAGCAGCATTATGGAGCGGAGAGGACAGATAAAGAGAAGGTCAGGTCTGCAGTGTCTGCTTGTGGCACTGCACGACAGAGGTTGTGGCAGCAGCAAAGAGGCTCATCCAATTAGAGCAGCTTTGTGTCTCAGCTCAGAGTCTTTACTCGTGAACTGGGATAAACTTCAATGTCCCACTCTTAACTCTTGCCCCTGTACTGTTGATGTTCTAGAAATTTACATGGTCTATATACATTAGGAGAATGAATAACTAAGTGGTAATATCTGTGTTATACAGCTTATCTTTATGACTGACATGCAGCCACATGCAACAAACTGCAGTGTATATTCTGGCATTCCTATCAGAACTAGCAATTTGTGGATGAACACCACAGGCTTAAATTAAGCACTTGTATTTCTGTATTTTAATAGCTAAAAGATGATTATAATTAGGGCTGCAAGATTTATTGCAATTGAAATCAAGTCACTATTAGCAAATGGCAAAGACAGAAGTCTTTCCTCTACAAACAACAAAACAGATAAATTGTCATTAGGAAAAACCTGCACACCCTGCAGACCTCTTCAACAAGCATGCTCCTAATGCCTTGAATTGTTGCAGTTAGTGAAGCAGTTCATTTTGGTCTCCAATAATCAGAATCCTATAATTAAAACATAAATTACAAATATAATCTAATTGCAATTGCGATAAGACATTTTCCTCAAATTGTTCCAGTCAAAAGACAGTGTTACTCATTATTTTCTTAGGTAAAAGCTTTTTCAAATGTCTGTTATGTTCAACAGGTCTGTCCAACATGATGTCTGATGGGGAGTTCTTGAGGACAAGTTGTGGTTCACCCAACTATGCAGCTCCAGAGGTTATCTCAGGAAGGTGTGTGCCAGTGGACTCTTCTATACATTTTTTTAAATCAACTATGTACTTTACTCTGCAAAAGGAGTACTTTTTACTATAACAAATTTCTATTCTATTCAGTAATCAAGGCCTTGTAGCAAAAAATAAAATGGACATCTGATTTCAGTTGTCATATTTTCTGAAAGAAATCCAAAAGGTAATGCATTTTTGATGTGCAAACACCTTGGACTGTTTTTGAGGAGCTAACATTAATGACAAAACATTAATGAATATTAATCTACTGAAATAAACCTAATAGCTGGTCAATAGGGGGCGCAAGTGCACCACACTACTCAACCTAGATCAAAATTAATAATTATTTTGTATTAGGCTATATGTTCCATATTTTGTTTAAAATTCAATGTGTATGTGCAGATGCTTATTTTTTAATGTTAAATTTGGTCATGTTACTTTTTAGGATTCATAAGTTTGCTCTTTGAGTTCTCTGGTTGGTGCTCACTGAATGGAGTTCTACGGCCTGAAGTTTTGAGAAAATTTGACGTCAAATCCGGTGCTTGTGCCCATGACTTTACATCACAGCCCTGACGTACAACTTTGGGGCGCAGGCAGGAGCTTATTCAAACTATGTGATTAGGCTTCATGAATGTCTATCTGAGTTAGCCTGCTGCTGTTATGTTATGTCCCGTCTAGTCGCCAACTTTTCACTGGCGTTATTTTAGTACTATAATGAATGGATAACAAAAGGTTGTGCTGATATGTAAACATTGCATTTGGCTGTGCATTGTGCAGACGTAGGGCAGGTGACTTATTAAATATAAATCTAATTATTTAGATTTATTCAACATATAGTTCAGCCATTATATACTTACTACTACTAAGTAGTATGTACTTAGTACATACTACCAGCCACCACTAATAACAAACAGAAAAGAGGATGGTACAGAATTTTGCATCGGTAAAAATACAGGATTAAGTGTTGTGTTGACATGATGCGGTTCTTGCACCCAGACTCTACGCCGGCCCGGAGGTGGACATCTGGAGCTGTGGGGTGATCCTGTACGCCCTCCTGTGTGGGACCCTACCCTTTGACGATGAGCACGTCCCCACTCTGTTCAAGAAGATCCGAGGAGGGGTCTTCTACATCCCCGAGTACCTGACGCGCTCTGTAGCCTCTCTGCTCATGCTCATGCTGCAGGTGGACCCTCTCAAACGAGCCACTATCAAAGATATCAGGTACAGTTATGTTATAAATATGTATGATCAGTGAGAGAGCCACATTGCATGACAAAATAAATCATTTTTGAAACACTGGTAACAATTTATACAATTATGCTAGCTACACTGTTAGGTTGGTTAAGCTTAGGGTCTGCGTCAGAATAAAGGTTCAATAAGTCGATAATTAAACCCAGCCTTAAGTAGATGTAGACCCTTCTAATTATTGTTGCTTTTAAAATTCATCGTGCTAACAAAACACGTACTATTACCCCAGCAAGTCTTTAATTTTGTCTTAGAGAGAAAAACATTTTACTACATTTTACCAACCCCCTTCAACAAACCAATGACTCAGACATTGGTACCTTGCTGAAAACTAAATTGCTAATATTTTTTCACATTTAAATTTTTTCATTTCTTTGTTTTCTTTCATACACTGTTTATAAGTCTGAAATCATATTTCTAACCAACCACTGTCCATAATGTAGTATTTATTATGATTAAAATAATCATAATAATTAATATGTTCCAATGTTTTCTTAATACAGTGTTAAGACAATGTTCAGATTGGACATTTGTTGATTTTAAAATTGTACTTATTTATTTTCAGAGAGCATGAGTGGTTCAAGCAGGACCTGCCTGGGTACCTGTTCCCTGAGGACCCCTCGTACGACTCCACGGTCCTGGATGAAGAGGCCGTCAGAGAAGTGTGTGAAAAGTTTGAGTGCACTGAGTCAGAGGTGGTGTCCAGTCTTTACAGTGGAGATCCTCAGGTAACACACCATTCACATATTTGACCAATTTTGTGCTTTTCTTTGGTGCTTTCTGCCTCTGGTGGCCATTTCAAAGCATTGCACCACCGCAATGGGATGCTTCTCTATATGTGGGCAGAAATAAATAAATGAAACATTATTCTGACCCTTATTCTTATGTATATTCAGGACCAGCTGGCTGTTGCTTACCATTTGATCATAGACAACCGGCGCATCATGACCCAGGCCAGTGAGTTCTACCTGGCCTCTAGTCCTCCACAGGGGTCCTTCATGGAGGATGGGATGCCCCTCCCTCCTGGAGTCAAGCCTCACCCAGAGAGAATGCCCCCCTTGTTGGCTGACAGCCCTAAAGCGCGCTGCCCCCTGGACGCCCTGAACACGACTCGGCCCAAACCTCTTACAGTGAAGAAGGCCAAATGGCACCTGGGCATCAGAAGCCAGAGCAGACCGTACGACATCATGGCCGAGGTGTACAGAGCAATGAAGCAGCTCAACTTTGACTGGAAGGTATCACGCACATCTCTGCACTTTTGCACTTTGAATGAAAACACTGTACGATGTGCTACTCTGTCACAGTGATGGTGAAACTGTGATCTTGTGTTGTAGGTGGTGAACCCCTATCACCTGAGAGTGAGGAGGAAAAACCCAGTGACAGGGAACCTGGTGAAAATGAGTCTGCAGCTGTACCAAGTGGACAACAGGTCTTACCTGCTCGACTTTAAAAGCATCGATGGTAGGTGCCGTGACGAAGGTCATTACTATAAAACAAGCAACAGTTTGAATGTGAGATTTTAACCCCTTGGTGTATAGAAATGTAGATATTTTATTGATAATATGACTCTATTATGGTATCAGTCACCAAAAAAATTAAAATTGACTCAAAACTGTATATTGACATGGAGCCAAAATTATGAGTATAGAATTATACTTTTATGAGCAATCACCTTATAATATACTAACTTACATCACAGTAATCACACATCATTATTTTTGTGATTCTCTGTCCCTCAGATGACATCATGGAGGCAGTGGGCTTTAAGTCGGGCACATCCACTCCCCAGAGGTCCGGCTCCACAGCTGGTTTGCACAGGCCCAGGCTTAGTATAGACTCTCTCAGTCCAGCTCTGGATCTGTCCCAGCTCAGCTCATCTCTTCCTGGCACTCTGTCCCTGTCCTGCAGTGCCCCCCAGCTCGCCCCCCGACAGGGTTCTCACACCATGGACTTTTTTGAGATGTGTGCCAGCCTCATCACCACTCTGGCCCGCTGAGGCTCTAGACCGAGGCTCTGGGCTGGAGCTCAAGGGCTGTATCAGCCCAGTTACACTTGTGCTGGCTGTGCTCTGTCTCTACTGTTTTTAAAGTGCACTGTGCATCCAAAAAGGCAGAGACAGAAGTACAGGGAATTGAAAGCATTTATTCTTATTCTCGCAAAGTCATTGGGTCGAGGTAAAGGCCAGAGATGTTGGATCTGACTCAGCAGAGATAAAGTTAACTGTAGCTCCACCCCTCCTTCTCTCTCTCCTGCACACAGCTCCCCACAGCGGAGAGCTGCAGGGCATCCTGCTGAGGCTGACAAAGGTCAGATTGACATCTGTCTTTATTTTATTAAGGCACCACGTGTTAGACCTGATAGTATAGTAGTGTCAGAGGAACACAATGCTTTTTAAGTTCAAATGGTTTCTACTGAAACAGTTTTTGTTATTCGTGGATATTTGTATTGTGTACTACATTATACACAGATAAAATACCAAAAAGAGTTTATATATTATATAGATGGTGACTATCAAATCTATTTATTTTTGAGAGCAGTTAGCTTTGTTTAACATCTGTTTAGAGAGAATCATGAAAATATTTTAGAACTGTTATTTATGTTTGAGACAAGATATATTGTGCTGTTGAATGGAGGTATGGATATAGTTTTTCACATCGCACACACTACTCTTCACAAGCCCTCCCTCGAGATCAGCCATTAGTTTATACAGCATTATTAAAATGTACCACGCACATGGCTCCTTTCCACTCGAGCTGAGTCCGTTAGACTGACATGTTGAGTGACTGTTAATGTGCTGCTTGCTCATGTGTGCTCCCAGTGTAATTAAAGAGAAGACGTACGGTGACACGGAGAGGACACACATGTCACACACCACACGGAGACTGAGGGCTGTAGTCACCATCACGCCACCATTTTGTTTTTAATGCTGTGCAATAGAAAGGTTACTTAAGGCTATCAGTGTTGCTGTTTTTCTTACTGTAATATTTATACAATATTATTTAGCAGCACCCTAAAGCTGTATAGAGAATAAGCCACAGACACTTTGCTCCAGTTGCCTTAAAGAACAAGTTTGAGATTGAATGTGATGAAGGAGACAATGATGTTTGGAGTTTGCCTTTGGAGTTTTCCATAACAGACTGGGTGCGCACCATGGCCTTATAAAAGCAAATTCAGACCCAGTGATGATCTGCTAGTCTGGGCTAATCAAATATTTCTTTTTGTTTAATTTTTCTCTGTTGAAACACTTCTACTTTTCCTCTTTATTTCCTCCTATTGGTCAGTCTTTGTCATGCTCTAATTGAGTGACAGGAGGATTAAAATAGCAATATAAAGTTTTGAAGTGTAAATTAATATTCATAAAATTTAAATCACAAGCTCTAAAAATTATATTTTTTTGCTGTTTTGTCTACTCCTAAGACTAGTTACTGTAATGTTAAGCCCCGTTACTGGATCATTTAAAAGAGTTGCCAAGTTGACAGAAAAGCTATGAAAAAAGCAAAGGTTAATAATAAATAAATTATTAATTTGTTGTGTGCAAGGGCTGTTATGAGCAGTTTACGGATCTACTACTTATATTTGTAGCCCTATGTGATGACTGCCATGTCTTTACCAGTCTCTTACTCTTTGGTAGCAGAGCCAGCTGGTGTGGTGTTGTTGAGATAATACTTTTTGTCAGTCTTTTGTGCTTGAATCTAAAGAGAGCTGAAGATCACTGGACTGTTGCCTTGTGCTGTTCTTTGTCAAACACAGAGTATAGACTAGTTTTGGACCTGCTGACAGACTATCGTTACAACTGAAGGAGCAGCTAAGAAGTTATGCAAGATTGAATAGATACTGTGTTGTGCAGAATACAAAGCATTTTGAAACAGTTTGAAAAGAACGGATGAGAGATTTTGTCTTGAGAAACAGGACATAGTGTGTAAATTATTTTAAATTCTGATGTGGATTTTATTGATTTTTTTCTGACAATGTTTTATATTTGTCTTGTGTTTTTATATATTTAACACAGATCAATTTGTAAGAGAAAAGAACTAAATATTTTATGGACCTACAGGAGTTAAACCTTGGTTAAAAGTGTAAGACTGTTGTGACTTATATATTTCTGAGTGGACAGAGTTTGCCTTAAAAAGCATTTTGAAGGATCTTGGTTTGGTTGATTGTTTGGTTGCTTTGCGTGAATCCCTTTATTTGTTGTAATGACAGGCTATTATATGTAACAGTACAATTACTTTTAGTACCTCCATAATGCAGGTCAGGGCCATACATCTACAGTGGTTTAGTGCAATATTTAAATCATGTCTTTGGCTGCCGTCGCTATTGAAGACCTAACATTACATCAAGATGAATTCAAAAAGAGTGAAAATTAAAAATGGTGTATGTTCATGTACTTAGATGTACTTTCTAAACAGGATATGAGATGAAAGATGTAATGGTAAATAATCAGTGTTATTTCCTTTTACATTCAATATAATAAAGTTTTAAAGGGCCTATATTATGCAAAATGATCTCTTGTGAGCTCAAAGCCATGTTAGAATGTTGTTACCTCATCAAATATAACAAAACACAACTCCGAGTATGTTATCAATGAGGAAACAACATTATAACATAGATCAGAAAATAGCATAATAAAGACCCTTTAAAAAGTTTTAAGAAATTATGTTCACAAACATGACAGTTGCAGCTAATTCCAGCATCGTATAAAAAATTGTAATTGTAAATTTGGATAAGGCACCAGTTTACTGTCACATTCATACTGAGCACACACAAGTCCTAAATGCAATGTGAAATATCAAAAGGTTCTGCTTAGGGTTCAAATAAACTCACCAGTGTTCATCTCTGTTGTACTGTATAAATATAAAACATAATATGCAACTTGGAGTGGCATGTGTGTCGTATCAGTGCCACAAACCCTCATGTTGTACCAAAGTGAAGATTTGTTTGTCTTTAAGTGTAACTCTTTGTTGTGTGTGTGTGTGAGTTGGGATGATCACTGCTGTTACTGTCTGAGTGGGATTTCTCTTATTATGCACTGCATGATACTGTATTGCTGTTATCATTTGCACTTTAATGAGTATTTATCAAAAACAATAAAACATTTGAAAATAAAACTGTTACTTGTGCCATTACTTCAGTAACCATTTACTGCCAATATAATACGTGAGCAGAGGTTAGTAGTGAGAACGTAGGTACTGAGTTTTTTTCTTAAATACTTTTTTGTAAGAAAGCCATAAAAGGCATAAAAAAAGCAAACACCAAGAGGTACATGGAGGAAAAACATGAGTGATATAATCTTACTATGTGGATTTTAAATATATGACACACTTAACGTAACAATATTCTCTAACAATTGTCCAATGGTGCAAAGATAATACCCCACGTGACTTAAGTACAAAAATACAAAAAAATAAACACAAATATGACTTTTGGGCAGCCAGTGGCTAAAGTGTAACCAGGTAAATGTGAGTAGTTGGTTGAAGCTTGTTTTCCAGTCTTCCTTATAAAAATTTCGATTGGTTGGTGTATTTGAGTCTGAACAAAATGCCATTCACCAATGCAGTTTCACCAGTTGTCAGGCCAAAGTCACGGTCACAGTATATTCTCATAGTGTCTCCCTCAGCAGAAGCATCACCATAGTTCACACATTTAGTCCAGTGTTAGTGGAGCTCACTCATCAAAAAAGTCGGCATACTGCTCTGGAGGAGGGAGGATAGGAATGTTAAGATCCAGGTCCTCTGATGGGCTCGGCTCACGCCTGTGGGCAAAAACAACATGTTTTCAACCACTTGAATACTTGAGATTTTACACAATCTATGTTATATGTTTCTTTTATTCTCTATAAGTAGCAATAAATATATTTAAAATGAATATCTTGTATGATTAGATTATTAATATGAGGTATATATTTATATATATGTTACATACAGTTGAAAATGTTTTAGAAACCATATTAGATTTAGAATAGTAAAATATTGTTGCCAGTACACCCATTTGTCCCTAAATCTTACATGGTTCTACACAGTTTATTACATGAGCTGCTCAGTTGTGATAATATATGAATTGAGAAATGTCACTTTAAATGAATGTTTAAAGCTTCTTAAAAGACTTAGTTATTATTATTTATGTTTTTCACAAATTCACAGTTCTTTACAGTTTTCTGGAAAATACCACACAATTTCATTCTCTTATCAGTCCCTCAAACAGACTTGTTTGTTCGCCACAAATAAGGAAAGCCTATCCAAACAATGCATGTATACTGCATTGTGTAAGTGTGTACTAGTACTTACAAGGTCTCTTCTTCCGTGATTACTTCAGGAGCTGAGAGGGAGAAAAAGTAAGAGTTAAAATTGGGTAACAAAGGGCATTCACACAAGACTATGAGTTCGACAAAGGTATGGGATTACTCACTTGTGGCTGGTTCAACAGGGCTGTAAAAAACACAACGAGCAGAGACTTAAAACTTGCATTGTTAAACTCTCACAAAGATTTATAAGAAAGGTATTGGAAATATTGCAGTATTTATTCTGGTGTGTACCTGGCAGTGGGTTCTGTAGTTTTAGGAGGGTGGAAAAACGTGGCGAGCTTTGCAAGTGCTTCATGTCTGGCTCTAAACAACACACATTGTATTTATCATCATATGTTTGATGGTGAACTTTAAGAAGAGTCTATATTTTAATCAAAACTTACTGTACATGGGAGCCCTCCACAAGATCACTCTGACTGTGCTGGTGGTTTATAGTGAGCTCTTCACTTCCTAAAAACAAACAAACAAACAAAAACATGCATTATAGAAAACTGCATAATTTTGTACTTCTAATAAGAGAAAGAAAGGTAGCCTTGTTTTATTCTCGATTTTAGAGGATAGATTTGAAATAACTGCATTTGATCATTGTGGTTGTCAAAATGAGCCACAGGGTGAAACATTAAATATCCAACTTTTCTTAAGTACTGTATCCTGCAGCTGTGTCTGAGATTTCTATCAAGTTAAAAAGACAGCTGAATGACAAATGTATTATGCTTATAACTATAGCAATGTCTGTAGGCGTTTGTTGACTTACCCGTTTCACCCATGTCGGGCAAAGAATGCGTTCTATTGTGGACTCTGAAATGAAATTACATTCAGAAATAACAATATAATAAATGTGCATGTTTTAAATACATTAAATACATCTGGTTATTTACATTGGCAACTCTGGCACTACGTTTTCAGTAGGAGAAAGTGGCTCGTCATCATCACAAGTCCATTCTTCACTGTCATCTGTGACTAAATAAATATTTTTTATTTAAATTATATATTTACATAATCAATGGAAAGTAATGTTTTTAGTAAATGAATAATTAAATACTTACAGCTCTCATTTGGATAATGGTTTGAAGCCCTGAAACACACAAACCAACACCATTACTGTCACAAGCTGCAATTTGACATCTCAGGACCAGCTCTGATGTCTTTGTGGTGAATACTGTTTTTGTGTCCTTTTGCAAGACACCTTACTGTGTATGTCTGTGTACACCGGTGTGTGAATGTGTTTGTGAATGAATGAGTGGTTCCTTATTGTAAAGAGCTTTAGTGGCTTAAACGTAGAAAAGAAGTATACAACTATAACTGGCCTATAGCCCTGCTTTATTGTATTATGGTCATACACACCTGCTGCCCGTGCTGGTGACCTCCTGCTCAACATTGGTGCTGTTCAGTCGGGACACTGCAGCCTTCTTCCCCATCTCCAGCATCTCCTTTATGTCCAGGTCAACATGGTTCACAGCCACATAACCATCTGAAACACGCATAATAAAACAATACATGATAAAATATACATAACTTAAATAGAGAATCCCATTATTCTACAACTATGTATTTCTCTCACAGTTGTTGCTGCTGTCCCGGGCCAGCCACTTCCCCTTGGGGCAGTTGGTGGTCCTGATGATACTGATGGTGTCTCCACTCTTCACTGGGAGGTCCTGCTTTCGTCCCTTTGAGGTTACTGTCACTGTCGCCTGGTACATAGCATCCTCCTGTCCCGTGATCTAAGGAAGACAAAACTATTCTTACTCTTCTTACACCCATAATTCCATTATGTCTGCTATGTGATTTAGGAAACTCACACTTTCTAATGAATAACTACACCTCTTTATTATTAACCTTAATAAAGCACAAAAGAAAATATTTTGTTAATAGTTCATTAAGGATGATTCAGCATGAGTAACATTCATTAAGGGATTAGGAGTTGGGGTATTAATGGGGTAGTTCCAAAACCTGAATCATTCTCTATAAACAATTTAATTAATCAATTAAGTCGTTTGTCATGTTTTTATGGCTATATTGTGTCTAGCTATGTCTATATCGAGTGTAGTAACTCAAGCCTGAACAGTTTTCAAAGTAGTGTGTACATTTTACACACACAATGTACAAAATACTATTGCAGAATTACTCAGCATTTTGAGAAATAGCCAAAATGTTACTCCACAACAAAAACACAATGGTGAAAACATAGCAAGAAATCTATTATATTACAAGAAATGTGATTTGAAAATCTTTGTCTACTGTCTATGTAAATGAAGAGTCCCATTAGGAACCTACCAACACTAAATACCACCCAAAGTCTGGCCTTTTGTTACCCTTTTTCTTTGAAGTAAAGTTATCACTGCAGATTTTGAGTGCATACAAGATAGCACTAACAAAGTCAATCATGTTTACATAGATTCCAATAGAGACTGAGCGTTTGGATTGTGTGGAATGAACACAGACTGGTTTTAATAGCAGAGCCCAAACCCCACCCTCCCCCACGCTTTCCTGTCTGACTGTATCATTAATATTACTCACTTTAAATTTCTTTTTCAGTTCATTCTCTCTCTTCTCTCTCTCCTTCTGCTCCTTCTTCTCTCTCTCCTGTCTTTCCTTTAACTCCTTCTTCTCTTTCTCCAGCCTCTGTTTCTCTCGTTTCTTCAGTTCTTTCTCGTCCAGGCCTTCCAAAGCTGCCACAGCTTTCTTGTCACTCCTAAATCAAAGATAGCCTTTTGTTACCGAGCGAGTGAGACTTTGAAGTGTATTTAAGTAGCACAAGAGATTATAATGGAGACTCTTCCTGACAACACGCCATCCTTATCTTTCAAAGTGTTTGGGAAATAAAAGGGGGTCAAGTGAGTGTGGGACTTACTTGCCAAACCTGCCAGTCTTGGTTTTCTCTTCAGTCTATAATGCACAAGAAACCAACAAGAATTAGGAAACACATATTAAAATAAAAATAAAAAAGCAAGAATCTATAATAATTGATCTTGTTAACAGTGTTACAGTGGTGGAAAAATTACTCAGTTTCGTTATTTAAGTGAAAGACTAGATACTGGAGCAAAATAAATAATCAACTAAAAGTAAAATGAAAAATCGACCTGAGTAAAAATATTAAAGTACCTGATTAAAAATGTTAAAAATTAAAAAAGAGGTGTAACAAAGCTTTAAATGTAGTGATTTTGTTACAGATTGTGTTGAATTATGTTCAACAGATGTTTATTCCCTAGCAGTTTGTATGTATTTTTGTTTGGTCAAACTGCAAATCTGTTAAAAATAGCTCAGTGGGGTAGAAAATACAGATACCTGGTCTCAAATGTAGAGAAGTGAAAGTAAGAAGTATGCACTTATACTTAAGTAAAATACAGATATCAAAAATGTATACTTAAGTACAGTACTTTACTACTTTTACTTTGTTTCGTTCCACCACTGGTTAACTTGTATGCTTCTTACCATTTCCGGTGCCTCCGCATATGGATCTGCAAGTAAAGATTTAGCGTAAGTTTAGTTTTAATAAGAACAGCATTCCTGTGATATTTGTTAGAGCAGAAAGGCACAGATCTGGCAACCTGTTCCATATCAATATGCAAACTAGAGATTGCAGATAATTGGATGTGATTATTTTAAGTGTGGTGATTATCATATTTGGTTAGCTGCGTATATCTTTCTTTAATAATTCAACAAATAATCAAAAAGTAACAAAAACGTTTGTATTCAATGTCTGTTCCTGCAACGTAAACAATACTAAAAAAACACTATTACACCACAGCCTCCTATTATATTACTGTCACTTTGCATCATTTAGCTGATCTTATGTTTACGCAAGTCTAAGTTTATTACATTAAATATTTGTATTGAGAAGGCCTGAAGGGACATGCTTCCTGTGAAGAAAACCAGGACTGGTCAGATGCCAGCTTATTTAGACCTTTTTAACTTCACTTTCTCTGCTGTAGGCAATTGGATACAACAGGAAATATACTAACATCAAAAGAGCTTAAAAAACTCTGCCTTGTGAGATGAAAGTACTCCACTAATTCAACAAAAGTCACATTATTCAACTCCTTGCAGTAGTTAAAACACCTAATTATTTAATTAAAGCTTAGTCTTACTCTTGGGCGGTCCTTTGCGCTTCTTCCCATCAGTTTTCCCTTTCTTTTTGGATGACGACACATCTTCATAAACATTTTCTGTAGGTTCATAGGGACTGACACCCTGAACCCTAAAAAATAAATTGAATGGCATTTTTACTACATGTGTTCTTTTATGTTTTTTTTTTTCATAGGTCCATAACAGTTAGTCAGATGTTTTACCCTGGTGTTAGTAGCAGAGAGTCCCGGTTGCTGGGTGAATCTGTCACATCAAACACTGGAGTTGTGGCTTGGACTTCCGCTGTAGGTATGGTCCCATTGGGGATGAGCTCTGGGATGTGGGGTCCGTCCGGAGACTCAGAGCCATTGTAATCTCCACTGCCCCAGTCGGACACAGGCAGGTCAGGGGAGTGGGCCTCTGGAGTCCTGTCCTCAAACTCCGGGACGTCTGTGTGTGCAGCGATGTCTGTGTTTGTCTCGGAGAACTCCACAGGGGCTGGGATCGCCACTGCTGAATACGAGAGAGAAATGATGTCAGATAATACATTTTGATAACATTTGCATTAACCAATCTGCAGCAGGGCAAGAATACATCATCGAAGATAACAACATATGAGGCAAAAAGGTCAAGAGCTTTATAAGAGCATTTCATATATAACACTGTTAAACCTAATCAAAAGACTACTTGAAATGTTTGGGTAATTATGGGGAAACTTGATTTCTAAACTGTGTGTGTGTATGCTTACATGCACACCAAAATCTGTTCATTATCTGATTTCTGGAGATATCAGATTAAACCCAATTGATTAACTGATACTTGGCACAGGAGTTTTTGATTTTTAGATTTCTTTTGTGCATGTAAACACACACCACACACCAAGAATCCACTCTAATCTATTGTGATGTCAGATCATTTTAACAATATGATTATTACTGGTCATGTAAATGTACCAGCTGTATGATAAAAAGAAATCAGTAATCAGAAGATGTACTGATGCAGAACCAAATCGCACACAACACCACATTAAACTGAAGTAGCTCATACCCTGCATATGCTATAACAGGTGTAGTACTGACCACTGTCCTCTAGAGGGGGAGGAGGGATGAAGGCACTGAGGTCCATAGTGGGGGGGCGGGCAGGTTTGGGGGGAGCGACGGGGAGGGTCTCATTTTCAGGCAGAAGTTTCCTGGGGGGAGGAGGGGGGCGCATCTCAGGCTGTTCTGGGATCTCCTCCTCTTCAATGCCCTCCAACACCAGCGAAGACCCTACGCACAGCCAAACTACAATGTGAGCAACTGATGAAGACTCGTGGTAACTCAGTTTCTACTAGTTTTACATGAAAATTCTTAGTAGTGACTGGAGCTCTCTCAAAGAACAACACACAATCAGAGTTTAGGAAAAGAGAATGTGACATTGGTGATTTCTGAGCAAACCAAACCAGTTATGAACACTATGAAATTTCTTTCGTTAAACTCATAAATACATGCATGTTTCCAGGCTTTACATTTGGCATTTCTTTTAAAAAACAATGACAAATGCTTTTTAAAAATCCATTTTGGTCTGACTTGTACTCTCAGATATTAAAATGCTGTCTAGAATGAACAGTATCATCATAATATGAATGGTATGTAATGACAGATGACTGCTCCTAGTAAAATTGTAACTGATTCAATGGGGCCTAATGCATTCATGGATAACAATAAATATGCTAATGGAACATGGTTTGTATACAGCAGTGCAGTGTTTTTCATTCAGTGTTGTCAGAGCGGCTCACAGTGATGGACATGCTGCTCCTCCTTGCGTCGTGTCTGTCATACCAGCTCTGTGCCCTGCCTGCTCCATGCTGTCTCTGCCACTAAAACAACAGCCCCGCTCCAGACTGCTCTGTTTTTAAAGACACTTTCTCCAGCCAACACCTCAGGCACCCACTGGCACTAGGTTACACTCTGCAGGCTTCATACCTGCTCAGTGCACAACAAGTAGCTCCAGAGCAGAACAGCATGTACCCACGGGCCTTTCCCAATGGTGCCTCTGCGAAACTAGTGTATTTCATCTACACTGCCAGTTTCAATTTACAATGACTAATTAAGGTAATAAGTGACCCCCAGATTCACTCACTTTAAAAGCAATAATAGTTCTTACAGGAATCAGCCAGGAACAAAGCATCAGCTTGTACAGCTGCTCTGATCAAAGTTTATCTTTGTGATGTCACAGTACAGTATGTACTGGTGATCAGCATGCAGTACATATACTGTACATTTAAATCAAGTGTCACTTACGGTGGTCCAGCCCATTGACCTCTGGCTTTGGAGGGAGGCCTTTAGCCATCTTGTCTTCGTAGTCAATGGGAGGAAGTTCAAACAGTGTTGCTTCATCATGCACCTCAGGGTGCTCCTCTGGGGGAGGGGTTACCAGAGATGTGGTTGGTTTTGGATGACTGGGGACAAATAAAGAATTATAAAAATGACAGTTTTTGCTTGTTGAGTGACATTATGAATAAGACACAAAAACACGATTACTTACTTATGGGCCATCCTGCGCACCTTCTCCAGGGCATTGAAGATCCTCTGGTCCCCTGGTGGAGTCCTCTTGCCTGGGCTCATCTCCTCTGCCCTCTCCAGAGCAGACAGGGCAGACAGGGCAGACGGGGAGCACTCTGCTTTAGAAGAGACTGAGAGAGTATCTAGATCCACAGGTGGAGGGGGGATTTTTAAAGAGTCCAGGTTTAACAGCTCAACAGGAGACTCTGTATTTTCTGGAGGAGGTGTAGAGTGCACAGAGGCCAGCACAGACACATCAGGCTCTGGGATAATGAGGGGAGGGGTCAGACTGATGGGCACCTCGTTCTCACTGGGTGGATGGAGAACACTGAGAGTTTCTGTAGGTGCTGTGTTTTCATTCTCCAAGGTGAGCGGTACAGGGACGATTGGGACCTCGGAGAAAAAGGCCGGAGGAGGGGTGATGTCTGTAGAGGTGACGTCTGGAGAGGTGATATCTGGAGAGTTGAAGTCTGGAGAGGTGGAGACTGTGAGAGTAGGTGTCTCTACTGCAGGACTGGAGGTAGGTATAGTTAGGAGCTCTGGCATCAGGGCCTTTGGAGGAGTCCTGGTCTCAGGGGTAGAGCTGGAGAAGTCCTGTGTCATTGGGGTCAAAGGGACTGGTCCTGAGACCTCAGAACTGGGAATATCCAGGATTGGGTCATCTATGATTTCCACGGAATCTCTTTTGGACTTCTTGAAACCAAGGAAGCCCTTCTTCTTGAGTGTAGAGTTTTTGGGTGGGGGTGTGGCTGGGACCAGCTCTGCTGTGGTTTCCTTCTTCTTCTCTTTTTTGGGCTTCTGTGGCGGTGTGTCCTCGTCATACAGACGCTCTCTGCCCCCTTTGCTCTTGTCTTTGCCCACTTTAATCTTAGAGTCTTTGGGTTTGGAGTTGGATGGTAGAAGAGGTTTCTTGCTCTCCTTCTTCTCGTCCTTAAAAACCACCCGAGGGGCGAGGGGGGTCTTTCCCTCCAGACTCTGGTTGATGGAGGTGAGCAGAGAAGGCCGTGCTCCTGCAGGCATGTAATAAGGAGGGCTCTGGGGAGGGGGCACCACTTTGGGTTTCTCTGGGAGAGCAGGTTTGGGTTTGAGGGACTGCTTGAGGAGCAGCTCCTCTTCCTGGAACTTGGCCCTGAGGGCCTGGAAATCCAGAGAGTTCTCCTGTGAAAGTGGAATGTGAAAGCAGTCAGTGAATAGCATTTATGATTATACATACCTACACAATGGTTAGCTCCACACTATGAGCATCCCCACAGATGATAAGCACTCACTTAGCTCCCCCTGCCCTGGAGGAAAAATCTGTGGCTACCATTGATCACAACATGAACTTGCACAACATTTGCAATACAGTATAATGGATATGGGATGTATATATAAGTATGTATACACAAATACATACATACATATAAGTACATTTAATTAAGTATTGTAAATTGTTCTTAACCCATTGATATAGCATTCAATAATATTGTATTTGAGAAGACTGAACAGCAGCATTCTTGAAGCATTATTACAATTTCTATCAGTTTTTTTCCCTAATAAATCCTTGTGTTGTAAACAGGATTCATAAACTGCCCCAACACATAGGCCTTATGTTCGTGTTCCTCTATAGTTAATACTGTTGTTTATAGCCTACATATTTAATTATATGTTCACAATTTGTTAGACGTAACCAGCTTCATGGGTTTAGCTGTGTTGCGTAATGCGAAGTTTGAACATACCTCGTCCATTATGCGAATTAATTCCACCAAAAGCGTCACTCCTGTGTCCGAGTATGTCTCAGCCTCTCATCCTGTGTCCGCTGAGATGTGAGTTGTAACTCTTGAGTCCACCTGTCCACCTGTCCACACCGTGTCCGCGCACCTCAGAGCTCTACAGCAGGTATGCCCACGCGCTCTGCCAGTGGTTTCAGGGAAAGAATGAGGTTGAGTAGGAAGACGCACACGCATGTCGAGAGAAACAGCCGGGCTGGTTGGACGGGTCTCGCACTGGTTTAGACTGAACGTGTAGCTACACACACACATTTCCTCAGTACGCCAGGAATGCCGCTCGGCTGGCATTACGCGTACGCGCAAAATGACTCACTGTCATGCAGCAGGTGTCTGGTACTGTTGCAATGAAACTTTGGCTCGTTTTTTACATTTGTACCTTTACATTGATATTGTTTGGAATTACAATCTAGTAAACTCGGTACTGAGTACTATTTGGCGGACAAGTTCACTATTTGTCATTAATCAACTGTGTATATAAGATTACAGACGCAAACATAGCAATAGGAAGCGAAAGAGGCCTGTCAACATTCCAGCTTTGTTACTCTGAAGATAAACGTATTTAGCCAGGCATTTATAATATGACACAAAATACACCTTAAGACAGATACAGTGTCTTCAGAAGAGTTTGTCCTGTTCTACACAAACATGACCCTCACGTCTTCATCACCAGCATCCGTTTTATCCTGGAAATGAATAAATTAATAGATGAATAAATAAATAAATTACTTTTGTTTTAGCACATATTTTAAGTTGCCATTTCAGGTATGTTCAAGCTGTTAATGAAGGACTGAACAGGCCCTAGGCAGCTCCTCTGTCCTGTGCAGGGATTAGCAGTGTGTTCTGCAAATGTAGATTTTCCAAAAAAATCTTTTTTACTTGAGTGAAACCTAAAATAACCTTATCATACAGTCCAGTTCTGAACAAAAACATAAGTAATTTGTGGACAATATATTGCCTGTACTGTAGTCTCATGACAGAGAGCTGGGAAGAGAAGCAGCCCCAAAGGGAACTGCTGACAATGAGCATTGTGGATTAGGCAGTAACTAGGACACCATTATGAGAAAGACACAATCATTTTCCACTGCTTAGTGTCATAAAAATAACCCTGTGTATGGCAGCTAGAGTAAAAGTGAATCCACCAGACGTGTGCTGTGACCCTGGACTAGGTCATTGTTCTCTTTGTCCTGAGCAGTGTGAAATAAACCGTCTATTAACCTTTGCTTTAAGGCTTTGGCTTCTTAAACACTGCTGAAATAAAGGAACAGAAGGGAGGCTGTTGTAGCTGGATGCTAATAAACCTTATGACAGCTTGCATTAGAGTCTGCCAAAGTGACAGGGCCATTAAAATCATGTTAAATTACAACTAAATAGTGTGGACTAGTAACTTCAGACTGAGTACAGAAGCACGAGGTCACCCTCATGCACAACCATTAGTCTCCTTCATTCACAGGCATATAAAACACTTAGACCAGCGAGTCATTGAGATGTGTTTATTTGTAACAGTAATACATGGTGGCATAATCAACTGAACCAAAATCATCTATAAACCCACTGTAGAATGTCATAGTCATAAAGATAAAAATAAGGTGTCAATTTTACATTAAGAAACTGTTAGCTGAGGTAAAGTTAAAATAGGTCTAGAAATGTTATGTACTCAAACAGCAATGGTTCCCTTTTTATTTATTCTTTGCTCTTGTCTCCTGGATGTCATGTGTTTCCTCTCCAGGCGACGTGGACAGGGACTCTGGCCATAAAATAGGGAGTGACTGGCATCACAGTATGGAGCTGTAGCAGAGGAGGCTGCAGCTGTCACGGACAGCAGCAGTTTGGCACCTGACTGACAGAGAAATGGGCGGGACATGAACTGATACTGACCAATCAGAGTGTGGAGAAACACAAAAAACAGAACGCAACTTTTCACACAAAGTACAAGGGTGGTAAAATCTTTAACTTAACATTAAGGTTTATTGGTTTGAGACAAAAATGATGCAATGTTTGGAGCTGGAAGCAGGATTAGCTGAGAAGTATAACAGGTCTACATTCTAAATTAGGGCAATAAACATAGTGTGACCCTGAAAGGAAAACATATGTTGGTATTGCTTGGGTAAAGTTAAGAGTTTGCATAACTGAAGCCTTCCTATTTTATGGCACAGAAGTCCAGTGGACAGAATGGTTGTTATTATTATTTACAAAATGAGTTTGGCAAACCAACTATCAGATGCCTTAAAGCCATGTAGACTCTATAAGTCCAATAGAGCTGACCCCAGCGGCTTGATTGACTTATAAAATAAAAATTCACTTTTTTCATTTTTTAAATCAGTATTGTACAAAAGCTATAGAGAATGAAGAGTTCAATCACAGAATCTGTCCCTGGCCTCTTCCCTCTTGGGTCCGTTCTGCAGTTCGTCTGGTCCTTAAGCCTTCAGTCTTTCTGCTAGAGAGACGTTTGGCAAATCACGTGTGTGTGTTAGGCGATGTTTGTGTGTACTGCATGTGTGTGAGGAGCTCCCAGAGAGTCTGTTTCTGCATAGAGATCCAGCAGACACTCACAAGGATGGGGAAACGCCCAAAAGCGACCGACCAATCAGAAGTAGCAATCCTCGTATGTCTTGTCCCAGCACAGATTCTCAAAAGAAAAGATGATCTCTCTAATCCTTGTAAGCGTGCATGTACTTGAACGGTAAGTTGGATGGAGACAGAGGGAGAGGCACTGCTTGATTCGGTAACCCCTCCCTGGCAGGACAGTCCCAGGCCAGAGGGGCGAGAAGAGGAGCAGGTGCAGGGCAGCAGGAGCGTGTGGGACAGGGTGGAGTCCATAGTATGTGTAAGGCTGGCTCTGATTGGCCACAGGGAGACGAGAGGAGGAGACAGCACAGTGCGTGGTGATGAAGCTGCAGAGGAGGAGGGTGACAGAGAAGGGGCGCAGTGGCTCCTCCTGGGACATTGTTAGCAGAAGTTGATGAAGAGGAGTTACACATTCATACAGTGATGAGGGGGGCTCTGCTCCTGCCCCACTGCTGCTGGTCGGGTGCATCTTCCTGTGGGTCTCTATTTCTTCCCTTTGTTGATCTTGGCGTAGAGAGGGTCTTTTCCCTTCTGCACACAAGACAGACAAGAGGGAGCAGAGTTTAATCCATGGTTTCATATGATTTTAAGCTTCTGTTTACAACCGGTTATGAATATGGCGTGACTAATCAGAGGGTGTCACTTGAATTCAGTTTCACATAAACTCATTTAACGGTCTTTAACAATCTCTTCCATTTGACAGAATCAAAATAAGCAGAGATGTAATGATATCCAAATCTCACGGTACGATATTACCTCAATATGCATCTGACGGAAGGATATTTATTGCGATATTTTGGTGAAGCTAATAGAACATAGATACTTATTCCTTTTAAAATACTTTGACCAGATTTTCAAATCATTACTGTCATAATCCCAGAATTTAAGAAAAAAAATTTCTTCATGTTGTCTGCACTGAAATGAAAAATGGGATGTGTAGTTCCCTATGTTTATTAACGGTTGCTACTATAAAACAATGCATTTAAAGAAAAGAAGTTGTAATTCGATATATTGTGACAACCCACGATATTATTGTGAGACAATATCATGATATGTCGGTTATTGTTACATTCTTAAAAATTAGGGTTGATTTTAACTTTTGTGGTTGTGAGTCTGCCACTTGGTCTTGTTATTGCTTTCCCTGGAATATTCCACAGTATGGCATTAAACAAATCTATCTCCATGGAGCCGAAGAGGTGATGTGGCAAAGTTATTGGTCAGATCTGTGGAAAAACAACTCCGCTCATGTCAAGAATGCATGTTTTCAGTGTATAAAAACACATGTAATTGAATGAATATAAGATAAAGATGTTTAAAGCCACTCCAGGGAAAGCAATAAGCATAACCTTTAATATATTATTTTTTACTGTACTTAATTTGTAGACAGTGATGGGATAAACACCTCATCTGTTGTAAAGGAGAGAGATAAAAGATTAGGTTTCATTTATATTGTAATGCGAATAAGTAGAGCTGGCTTATTATACTTGTTTACAAAATGCCGCACTTATCCTTTTACAAAGCCTCCATTTACATGCAAAAACATCCATGCAAGATAAAAACAGCAGACATTAGCGTTTGAGTAGCTGCTTATGTTGTAATGACACTCATCCAACGACTCAACTCATCCAACTGGACCAAGCAGCAGTTTCACCGTTACAAGCCCAGACAAGAACCATCTAGCTCTAAGAGTGAGAAAATATTTATATGATCCACAAGGGGGCAGGAGTGCACTGCTTTGAGCTCTGCTAATCACTTGTGTTCTGCGCTCATTTAAACCTCTCAGTCTTCACCCTTAAAACATAAAGAAAGAAAGGGGGAGTTATAAGTTGCCACTGTTACACCTCCTCTCACCCCAGGCCTCCTCTAGGGCTCCTATGAATCAGAGGAATAAACTAGCCTTGAAAGACCAGTTCTGAGTCATAGGCAGTCTCCCCCAATCTGAGACAAAGAGAGGATGATGGAGCACCCCACAGCGGGGCCAGTTATTATCATACACATAATTACACCAGCCACTCCATCCCTCATGCAGACAGCCTGATTGGGGGCTTTTCACTCTTATGGTATATTTGGGACAGATCTGCGTTGAAAGCCTGAAACAAGTTTGTACTATAAGAGGTTTCCATCCTGGAGACTGCAGCAGAGAATAGTGGAGTAAATGCCAATTAGACAGCAACTAGGGCCAGACAAATGACCTCTTAGAGTCGAGTGGTTCAAATAAATACATCACTCTGCTAATGCTACACACCCAAATCAGGCCTTGTACAATAGTAGGCCTATGTCAAGTGTTGAGTCATGAAAGCCATTATAACTGAAATCTTAAATGTGGAGTCATATTTTGCATGAGTTAAATGTCTAGCTCAACTGACGGGCATTAACCTGCTTGTATCCATGGAGATAGTATTGCTTTGTTGGGAATGTTTCACACTATGGCATTAAACTCATCTCCTTGGAGCAAAGCAGATTAAGTTCACTCACCGTAAGAATGCATGTTTTTTGAGATCAAAAAAAAAAAAAAAATTAGCAATAAGATGGTTATGTTTGATGGTGTACATGTCTGGTGAAAAAATAACAGCCTTAGGGAGACAGGTGTCAAACCCCCTAGCAGAAAAAGTTATTGTGCACCTTATGTGATGGTCAGTAGTACAAACGTTGCAGAATAGCATACGTGACAGGTTTGGGGCAATTAAATCTCTTGTAGATTAATTTCTACCATCGATTATGCTTTCTCTCAACATTTCAAAATAGTACTGTTTGTACAATATGATTCTTAATTGAATAAAATAATAACATTAACTTGACAACTTTTTCTATTTTACTTCTACCCCGTCTCTGCTGCACAAACCAGGGTTAAAGTTGGAGGGGAGCATTTAGCGGTGGTGGCTCTGGGCAGGAGAGCAGAGAGTGTGAGTGTGGGGCGTGCCAGGGCCAGACAGTCAGAACGAGCTGCCAGAGGAACTGAGACAAAAAGGCAAAGATGCCGAGTGACAGCCAACGCTCTGCACACTGCTCTGAGCTGCTCCAGCCTGCCCATGTCACCCCACATCAACTGTGCAGGGCCGCCAAACCCCAGACTGCTTCAACGCCATTGGACTCAAAACACTAGAAAACACAGTGTGGGGACGTGCTGCTGAGGGGGAGACAGGTGAGGGACCAAAATACCTGTGGACACAAGTGTGAGCTCAAGTGTCTGAACATTGCACACTGGACTTGCACAGTAGACCCAAAACAAACATGAGTAGCACTGGCATCGTCACTCTCAAGTTAATCAGACATCTTGTAATATACTTGGCTGTCAAATTATTTCAGTATATTCAAAATAACATTTATATACACATAAGAAATAAATAAGTGATCTACAGTGTTAGGAATCAACTCAATATATGTACCAAGAATATGTATTCCAAATACAAATATGAATTTGAGTAACTGTATTCTGTTACAGTTCCTATACTAATTTTCTACAATCAAAGGAATATATTAAGGTAGTCAGTCATGTAATTTAGACTTCAAAATATTGAACAACTCTGCTCTTCTGGTAAGTGCATGTGTGACTTTTCCTTCTCTACTTAGTAGTAGAAATGCTTTAAGATTGTGAGAGAAATATAAAGCTGTCTTTACACTATAATTCACATGCAATTCTGTCTAAAAACATTTTATCTGTCTGTGATTGAACCATGGATGATAAAACTGCTTATTTGTATTTGACCTGATGTATGTTGCACGATATTTTCTGCAGGATATTTTCACAACAAAGACAAATCACGGTTTAAACTAGCACATAACAAAAACAAGATGAAAATAATATTCAGGTTTAAACTCAACCGAACTCAACCAGAACTTTTGTTTGACTAACTGAGGATTAAAGAGAACAATATGGGTAAGTCAATAACAGATACACCTTACTCTAAACAACAAGGGTGTGTTAGTTTCAGCCTAGAAAGTTCCTCGAATCTGCTTTTACAATATATTCTATACGAATATACCAGAATTCTACATTGGTCTCAACTAATCAGAACAGAATTACAGCAGGAAAAATTTGCTAAAACAAAACTGAGTACTACAAGAAGACACCTGCGCACCCCAGTTTGAGAACCACTCCCCAGCACGCCTGTACAAGTGTGTCAAACTGAGAAGCTAGGCCACTTTGTCAAAGCTACAGTACACCCTTGGCTGCAATGGGAGCACAGGTGGCCCCAGCGTGGATCACAGGTGTGCTTGTCCTGGGTGTAACCAGCCTAATCAAAAGTATTTGTGTGTGCGTATTTGGGACGATGTCTGAAACCGATGTGATTGAGCAAGTAAACACCATATGGGAGCAGCGGCACTGGAACACAACCAAAGAAAAAAAAATAAGGGTAAAAACTCAAAGCTTTTGGGTCAGATTCTCCACACAACATTTTACAGTCCATCTCGCCCCATTTAAGGCTCACTTACACCTGTCACACTGGAGTTTTAGCTCAGGTTTAGAAGGGGGCAATAGGGGACACTCTGCCAAGCCAATACCCCACAAGGCATCTTGGGTTTTGAATTATGCCAATTATGGAGGTAGGCTCGTTAATCTTGGCACCCCTGTATAAGATGATGAAAACCTCCGGACTCAGTGCCAACTGCTATTATTAGGCCCACAGTCGTGAATATTGTGACTGGGTGAATACACTGTAGATTCAAGAACAAACTCTTGTTTAGTGTGTCTCTGTTGTTTTATGATATTTTGGGTGATATGTTTGTAAAATTTGGTAAAGTCATCTGAAATAAAACTTGCAATAAGTAAAATGTTAGATACATATGAGCCGTGCTTACTGGTGTCCAAATGTTGTTGTGAATAGGTGATTACATTTTCATTTAAGATATGAGAAATATAAAAGTACCAAACAAACCTTAAACTACATAGTACAGAAGCAAACAAAGTAATGTAACAAAGCACATCACAGTGTAGTTTATTATGCTGTAACATCCCATCAATCCTTTAATCTTTTAAGATTGCATGCCATTGTTTCAGCTCTTTTTTGCATATGAATATACTTTAGCAGCTCCAGGCACAAAAACGATTGCCTCTATGGGAAAATTGGGTTCTTTCAAACCATTCTGCCTTTGCAATATTACATAGTTTGTTTTTATGACTATGCAGCTAAAACAAGTCATCTATTATACATACAATTACATTTATTTATATCCAAAATCAAGGCTCAATCCCAGAAGCCCTTGAGTTGGGTGAAGCATACAGGCTCTGATTGGCTGTCACACACAATCACCTGTACTTCTGACATGTGCTATTTTAGGGAGCAGGTTGTGATGTGGGAATAACCAAAACACGGTATGAGAAGGACACATTGTACTATGGAGAAATATACCATTTCACAAGGTACACATAGAACGTGACACAACATGACAAACAAACACAATGAAACAATCTCACCACTCAAACACATGCCGGGGTTGTGAGAAATGAAAAAAAAAATAAAAGAACATACAAAAATGCAAAAGGGACAGAGAAACTACAAGGGGACAGTGTGCACGGAGAGGAAAAGGCAGGCAGCAGAACATTGGTTATGCTTGATACCTACCGTGCTCTGCTGCTATCTAGCTCCCCGCCTCCGGACTGCCCTGGGCGGGACTGCCCTGGTCGGGGCTGCCCTGCGCTGGACTAGGCTCTGGTGCCTCAGTTCCCTCTGCGCTCTCACTGGGACAGGGCGAGCCAGAGCCACACGCCTGGGCAAGCAGCAGTGTGGGAGAGATGGAAACAAGGAAGGGAAAGGAGAGGAAAAGCAGAATTAGACTGAAAGAAAGAAGCTAGGGTTGAAAGACTGTTAGGACTATAAAAGTGGAAAGTGTCAGTAGTCTACACAGAAGATAATTATGTAAGGGTATTGTCCTTGTATGGAAATATGTCCCCTGCATTTGACCCATCCTTCAATGTCGCTAAGGCAACCTGTCAAGATTAGTGGGACCCATCTTCACATGTTGACCTAGGTTTGGTTTGGTCAGGGCTACCTTAGTGGGAGGATTTTACCTGTTTACCTATTGTGCATGTTAATGAGGACATTGGCAAATATGTTGTATTATCAAAGTTCACTATTACTCAACTAATATTGACACCAAGACAAAACAACTGTGAAATCTTTCATTAATTATCATTCATTCTTAAACAGTGTTGCAACACTGAAATTTCCACATTGTGGAACAAATAATGATTTTCTTATCTTCTCTTATCTTATTACCATTGACTAAAATGTTTCATGAAGTAACATTCTGAATGATAGTAATGTTAAACTGACATAAACAACCAGATTATAATTTAAAGGTGCATTGTTTAATTTTTCTTGAGGAGAGTCCATCAAATGCTTTTCTTTACGGAGATGATATTGCTTTGTCTTGAATGTTTCACAGTATGGACATTAAACCCTTCTATCTTCATGGAGACTAAGCCAGACCAAGTTACAGATCAGATCTGTGGAGAGGCGACCCAGCACACAGTGAGAAAGCCTGTTTTTCTGAGTTATAAAACCACTTGTAATTTAATAAATGTAAGACAGAGCGCTTTAATGCCATACTGTGAAACATTCCTGACATATCCATAGAAACAAGCAGGTGACAGAACCCCAACCAAAAAGTTACATAGTTTACTTTAAACTTTAAGGTGCACTGTGTAACTTGGTTTGCCAGTAATGTTTTACAATATGGTATTAAACATATATATAATATGCATTTTTTCAATTATGGGTGTTTTTATTGCTCAAAATGTGCTTACTGTGAGTGGGTTCGCCTCTTTACTGATCTCACCTGTAAATTGGCCTAGTGGAGATGTTTAATGTCATACTTTGGAATATTGCAGGCAAAACAATAAAATCTCCCATGGACACTAGCATTTAACAGGCCTGCCACCAGGAAACTTCCACAATGCACCTTTAAACAGAAAAAGAACTTCAGGTGTAGATTTTTTGCAGTATCGTTTGATTTAATGACTTTGAAAATTGTCACCACTTCTGATGATTATGAAAGCTCCCTGCATCCACCTCACTGGCAGGCGTATTTTTCAATCTAAAGCTCTCCCTCCCTCACACGTCTCGCGGTGCTGAGTCGGAGCCATGTTTCCGCCTGTGCCCATCTTTCTTGTCCGTCTTTCTGTGTAACCTTTTCAGCTCTCTCTCACTCACTCAGTGCCACCCCGCTCTCTGTTATTCAGGCCCGGTGACATTTTCAAAAGTGTGAAAAGTCCTTTATGTTTTTTTTTTTTCAGTAATAGCTGGACTTGGAGGCATAAAACTAATGTTGCACGCCCCGGAGTGGAGAGAGCAAGGAGAAAAGGAGGGAAGAAAGCATTGGAAAGAGAGAGAGTAATAGAAAAAGGCGGACAAAAGCATGGGACAGAAAGAGAGAGAGCAAGAGAAAAAGAGGGAAGAAAGCATCGAAAAAGAAAGACAAGGAGAAGGGAGAAGAAAGCACCAGAAAGAGAGAGAGAGAAAGTGAGTCAGAGGGAGAAAGAGAAAAGGGGGAAGAAAGCATTGGAAAGAGAGAGAGAGAAGAGTTGAAAGCTGTGTTTTTTGAAGGTCATTCATGCGACAAGGACTTTGGTCAAAGGGGGCGCTTGCTCATCTCTCACAAACTCTCTCCATCTCGTCATCTAACTCTGCCCCTGTCCAACGTGCACACAAAATAAGGATAAATCACCACCGGAAGAAAAATTAGAGAGTATTTCTCCTTTATACCAGAAAGATGAGCTTGTCCATACAGAAGTGGTGATGTATGGATGCTAGCGCTCACATATTAATAACAGCCTAATGATGACAAGTCCGCTGGCTAATTTAATGCCGCGTTGATCACGCATGCACACACGAGGCCACATACAACTCATTTTCACAATCATAGAGAAACACACTCATACACAAACATATGCATGCACACACACACACACACACACACACGCACAACAGGGACGCAACAGTCGGCCCTCTAATCAGCTAGAGTGATTACCTGGCCCGCCAACACGGCCACAGCGGCGATTTATCAGCAGATCTCGACATGTGGATACACTTACAGCTGCATAAGAAGTGGCTTAATAAAGGACGCACACTTCACAAAGACCTGGGAACGTTGCAAAAGTCAAGGCAGCCTGAACCCATTTTTATAGAAGAATCAAGACAGGACCAGGCTTCAGCAGCAAAATAACTGATTCCAACTGTACTTCTAGATTTGCCAAATTGATGCGCAGTAATTTTAGTGAATATTCATTTCAAATGATTTAGATACATTCCAAAAAATTTGTGGTTTCCTTTCTTCTACAGTGGCTAAAGATACTTACAGCATCCTCCTCTCCACTGCGACTCGGGCTGCCCTCTGCCTCCCCAAATGAGTCATCAGTGGGGGGGTCCGTGGCATCCGTGGGGGGGTCTGTGGCGTCCGTGTGGGGGTCACTGACGTGGGAGGCCGATGATTTGGAGGGAGAGCTCTGTCTGGGAGCTGGGGTGGGAGCTGTGAGGAGACACTGAGTCAGATGTACTGGACTACACTGTGTGATGTGACACAGAGGGTGAGTCTTACGCGAGTTGGTGGATGGCGTGGTGGAGGTGACTGGTGTCAAGTTCATCTGAGAAATGTCAAAGTCGTCACAGTCGTCCGTGTCCTGGGCAGTGCCCACACGGCTGAAGTAAGTGCTGAATGCTTCGGAGGTTCCTGCTAAGCCGGGCTGCTCTGACTTCTTGGAGGGCATGGCAGGAGGCTTGGCCAGCTGGAAATCCTGCACACGAGACAAGTGTGAGTTTGCGCCAACAAAATGTGACCTAATAGTGACCAGTCTTAAAGTGGAGCTCCATATATGCCGTGAAAACAAAAAAAAATCTGATCTAGCAATGTGAGAAACTACAGGCTGCAGCAGTGGGACCTGCTGTTAAATTTTGGCTCAGTTTCCTTGGCCTCTAGCTCTGGTGCCATCAGATAAGTTTGGAGATTAGAATTTAAATACACAGGTAAAGATGCCAAGATAAAGTCAGCTTTGCGAGATAAACAAAACCTTGAGCTGATTTAGTAGTCTCTATCCCTGTAGCCATGGTAACCCTGTGTAGAAGCACCATTATTCTGCAGAAAAGTCAGCAGATTTTACACAGTGAACTGTTGAGCACCTTGAACATCTCTTTGCCCATCTTCTTTGCCCGCTCCCCATGCTGCGGACTGGACGATGCGGAAGGGGAGGGGGCTGAGGCGCTGGCCCCAGCTGAAAGGCTCTCTCCAGCAGGGGTCACTGTGGTGACTGGGGTCAGTGTCTGGAACATGGCTGCAGGCAGCGTGCCCACGGGCTGGGCAGGGAGGTAGGCTGTGGGGTAGGCTCCTGCCGCCATGGCTGCCCACTGCTGCTGTGTGGCAGGGAAGATGTTAGCCTGGCCCCAGATCAGAGGCTGACCCCCAGGCAAGACCTGTGCCACAGGACCCAATGGCGACTGAACGCCGAAGGCCAAAGGCGTCTGCGCCCAGTGTCCTGGAGGCACCGCTCCCATGGTCACATAACCTGCACAGATACAGAAGCACATGTGAGTGATTGATCTGAACATAGCAGTTTCCACACACACAGATAATGCACCATGCATCACTGCAGAGAGCTGCCCTGGTTTTGCCTGCAGTTAATGTGCTGTCTCTTAATGGTCACGGTGAACTCTCATAATTACCTCCAGAATGAGCTGGAGTCATTATGTAAAGGCAAACTCATTACATTCAGTCCCATTCATCAGTGCAGCTTGTTCTGTAACACATCTGTTAGTCTGTGTGACTGTGTGAAGGCTGACACTTCACCTGTGTGTCCTGCACTGAGCTCAGAGCCAGTACAGAGGAGCTGTAGGACATGTCTCACTCACCAGGGGCTGTGCATACTAAACACTCCACTCCTGTGTTTATTACTGTGCTCTGACCAGCACAGTCAGCACCTCAGCCACAGGTAAATCAGCCACATCCCGTTAACCACATATTTCATATTCCACACACAAGCAGCCCACCTCTCTGCGCCCCTCATCTACATTTCTATTCTGTTCTGTCCCTGTGTATTTTCCTCCGGCCCTCTCCTCTTCCTCTGGTGTGCCTCTTAAGTCTTCTGACTCTGCCTTCATCTCTGCTCACGCCCTGCCCTCCCGCTGAGCCTGTTTCCCTTCCGCTCACAGCGCTCTTGTATTTAAGCAGAAAATGAAAGGGTCCTACCTGAGGGCACAGACGCAGGGTTGAAGGGAGCAAACAGTTCGGTGGGGGGCTGCAGGCCTTGGGAGGGGTCCAGGGTGTTGGCTGGAGAGGCGGGTGTCTGAGGAAGGAGGCAAGTAAGGACAGGACATGAGCGGGTTGGGTAGCATTCCAAACAAAATACTGTTTTGTCACCGATCTTCACAGCTTTTTGTTTCCAGGTGATGTCATGATTCTAAAAGGTGTGTAATTGTGGTGAATGGCAGCATGTTAAAAATTTTAAATACAGATGTGAAAATCTCTATAATTAGTGGAACCATAAACATGAAATAAAACAGTCAGAGCGATCAGCCTTCAAAATCTGTTTAACAAAGTCACATTACTTCTTGACAGTGTTGTTATTAAAGGTTCACTATGTAACTTTTCTGGTGGTTCTGCATGTCTCATTGGTTTTCATGGAAAGTTCCACAGTATGGGATGGCAAAGTAATATCATTTCAACAGAGGCAAGCAATAGAGGCATCAGGTCAGATCCATGGAGAGGCGAAACCACCCACAGTAAAGGCCAATGCGCACAAGACGCTTTGATGGGCAGCAATAAAACCACTGTTGCTTCTTTCTGTGTATGGCAAACTTCTGTCTTGCAAAACACACCATAACCCTTTCAAACCTTGGCCTTTTTCTCCTCACAGCCTTGTGCTATGTCTTTCATTTTGTTAGTAATCTGCAGATAAAGAACTGGGTTAAAGCCTTTTTAAGAGCCGTGATGGGTGGCCTTTGAATTGTGTTGACATGCGTCAGATGACCTTTAAAGGTATTTTTTCAATCAAAACAACTACAGTAGGATAAATGCAAGATAAATGCCATATTTTGGAATATCTCCTTGGATACAAGCAGGCGGTGAACCTGAAACTCTGTAATTTGATAACAATGAGCTACTTACAGATGGAGAGGTGATGTCAGGAGGCGTGGACATATCTCCAAAAATCTCTAACTGGTTGATGTTCTGAAAATCAAACATAAGCCCTTTTTTAAAAACAAGTGACTATTATTATTTTGTATTGTTCAATCTTATTAGTTCCAGTCCAGTGCACCATGCTTTCCACACCGCATGCAAAACAGCACAAGTTATAATTATGGCACCTACCTGAGTTCTGAGCAGCCACAGAGAGGAGAAGGGGACGGGGACAGATGAGATAATGAGGTGAGATGATTGATTAGGATGACATACCTACCACCATCTTTGAAATGTGCCACAGACAAAGGTGCTTTCCTAACTAGCATCTGATGCTAAAACACACTAGCACACCCCCGGCATCATTATAGTAGCAGTGTGTTGCCCTGGACAAGTCATTACTGCCCCCTCTCTGTGCCATCAAAGCCAGCAGGAGCCTGGTTTGATCTGTTATGTTGGGTTTCCTTTCACATTCTCCCCATGAGCTTCTCCTCTTTGCACTTTAATAGTATCTTTAAGCCAGCAGCGAGCGAAGAGAACTATTTATAGGTGATAAAGGAATCTCAGGCCTTGGATACGTGGTCATAGATTTGCATAAATCATGGAGCAGATCATTTCTTCTGCAGATTATGAATGTTCTTAGGATATATTTTGGTCTTGTGGGTCAGAAGTTGGTTTTGTGAGCCTCTATCAGAGACAGGGTCATTGTAAATAGTATTTGAGGAAATTTACACCGTCTGCACATTGTGTATAATTATAACAATTGTTTTAGTGTACAATGAATACAATGTACAATCTGATCCTCAAAAACAGCTGGTGACGTGTGTGAGGATTTGGTAGACGAAATACAGTGAATTTTAAATAACTCCTTCAATAATTTCTCTTTCATTTTTGTATTTGTCAGATTTGCATCATTTTCCTTGTCAAAACCAGCACAGTTATTAATAATAAGAGAGAAATCAGATTACTCTCAGATAGAACAGTTTATATGTCATTTCAATAATCTGATAACTCCTGTAATCAGATAATGGTTTATGGTTTGTGGATTATTAGTGTGCATGTAAATTTATCCACTGAAAATGTTCTTGTATGTTGATGTATGTAAAGCACTTTACATACTACATACAGTTATCAAGCATAGTAACTCTAGTATGGACTGGCTGTGGCGCCATCTGTTCTTATAATCTCATGATCAATTTTAACAGCTTTAACTTCAAACCCTTGAGCAGAGTTGTACAGTTATAGACTTTCTGTCCACACTGAGACTTCTTATTCTTTGGTTGTGTGGTAAGGTCAGGCTATGCAGCTGATTATGAATGCTTTATTAATGCTGAGAGAGTGAGGTGACCGCCACAGTGAGTCTGCTCGACCCCATGACCCAAAAGCACTTCTCTGACAGTTCACTGCACTCTCACCGTCCTCCTGACTCACACTGATACAGCTAAAGTCAAAATTATTCATGAACCCAGCCCAAGGAACATTTAAGTTATAAAAGGTATGGCACAATAGCAAAAACAGAAGTGAAACTTGGAATTTATTCTTTGTCCTAGAGTGTTTTCAAAATTCCTCCAAATGAGCAACTACATTGTCATTAAAATAAATAGAAGATGTTAACAAAAATAAATATGTTAATAATAAAAAAAAAGTTTCAAAATGAAGATATATTTTTGGTGTATTAACTAAAGTAGCTCATTCATGTAGCTGCTAGTGTATCTTAAAATATAAAAACAATTCCATCCACTTAATAATAACAAAACCATTATCATATTTTATTTAATGACTTAACTGTGTCTTTTGGCTGCTGTATGTATGTACTTGTATAAACGCACTAGTGCCCTTTCAGAGGAGAACTCTCTGTTACTATGGCAGCAGCAAGGTGTGCATGTTTTATTCATGAAATGACAGGGTCAAGAGTCAGGCTGACCCACCACTAAAGCAGAACAACAGAGGAACAGCTCAGGACGGGAGACAGGAGCGCACCTGAGCATCTGTCGAGGGGTTTGAAAACTGTGAACCTTAGAGCAGGTGTCTCAAGAGTATCTGGCAACACGCTCACAAGGGGTATGACGATTATTGAAAGACCACTGGCAAATCAATAAATATAAGGCCACACTGCATTAGTCAGTGTCTATGTAGTACAAATATGGGTGTTTGTGGTGAAAATGCTTTAATAAATATAAAATGATTTTGGATCCAAGAGTGGCTGTAGACTAGCAATTATTACATATTAAGTATGTAACAATAAACAAAATATGGTGATATTGCATCATCAAAATCTCGCAATTATACTGTGGGCCATCATAATATATCGAATCACAAATCTTTGCTTAAATTTATTTATGGAAGATAATTTGTTTCACTGCCATTGAATTTCTCACTTTGAATGTTTTAACTCTGAAAAACCAAATTAATTATTTTTATTCTGAATTTTAGTTGCTGAAGTTTTAAGTGTACATTTTCAAAAATTCAACATGAAAAAATTCACCTTTTAAATATTCAGCACAAATATTTTCAAGTCCTCAAATTCAGTAGTCAAAATTCAGAGTGTAAAATTCACAGTGAAAAAAATTTGCAGGAAAGATCCAAGATGCCAAGGCAGAAGGAATCGATCCAAATTGATCCGATCTAACTTATGATCCAACTGGTGTAGTGAATCGATCTGATTGGTCAGAATTAGCCTCATCAAAACCTCATCTCTGATTTCTTAAATGTAAACCCACCCACAGATGAAAAAGGCCAATAGGAAATCGCCTCTGTCCTCCTAACTCACATGATTGATTGCTTCTGCAATGGCATCTTGGGTCTTTGTTGTGAAATCTTTCGCTCACTATGAATTTCAACTTTTGAATTTGAGGGCTTGAAAATATCTGTGCTGAATATTTAAAAGGTGAATATTTTTTTATTTTGAATTTGTAATATATTGAAAAAGTATACTTAAAATATCAGCAACAAAAATTCAGAATACAAATAATTCAATTCTTTTTTCAGAGTTATAAAATTCAAAGTATTTAAAATTCATAATCTGATGGAACACATTATCTTCCATATTGATTGTTATTCTTTGTGCTGCAGTAGCAAGATGATCCTTTGCTCAGTTTCAGTGCAGACAACGCAGTCACTGAAAGAGCATAAACAATCTTATCCCTTGCCTTAATTGGGTGGTATGTATGTGAGTGTGTGTGTGTTGTGTATTTTGTAATATACAGGTATTGCCTAAAAATCTGATCTTTCTTCTGTACTGTTTCAAATTGTACCATGGTTCTTGTCACTGCCTTGCTCCTTACCTGAGTCACAATGTCCAGACCCAGAAAGTCTGTGAGGTCTGCTGCTGCCTGCGGCTCTGGGGCTGGTGTCTCCTGGAAATGGGATGGTTGTGGCTGATGAAGATCATGATGATGATGATGATGATGATGATGATAAGGGGTGGTTTGATGTCCATTCTGCAAACACAGCCGCAGTGTTAGATGTTACATGGGATGAAATGTGCACAGACAAACATTAACTTTCCATAACAGAGAATTGTTTGTAAATGGACAAAATGCTGAATAAACTATTGTCTATTGAGAGTATACAATATCTATACAGTATACAATATCTACAGTAAATACCAGCTAAACCAACCAAACAAACCTTAGTTAAACCTGTAGAAAACATTTACAAAACCAAGTATATAAGCAGTTCAAAACCAGGGCTCAACAAAGATAACTAAATTCTGACTTGAATAAACTTGACTTGCACCACCACTGGTTTCTGTTCTAGCACAATTTGAGTACCACTACCTTATATAAGCATGGTAGGCCTATATACACATAACTGAGTGCTAACCGTGTTTCCAGATTTGGAGTCAGAGTGAAGCTTTTAAGAGGGTTATGCTTCATCCCTACCTTTGGTCTCAAACTTGAGCAGAGAACAGCTTTAAAGCCTTTGTATTTTTGTAAAGCTTGCTCCCCAGTGTCACAGCAGAGGAAACCACCGGGCACAGAGCCGGATTAAGAAGCACACTGGCGGTGAGCAATATGGAGGGGTATGGCATTAGAATATCTGCTTTGTGTTACTGCAGGCTTTCATCACAAGAACTTATTTAAGGCTCATTTACATTTTGACCATGCGTTGCTCTCGGACATGCAAAAGTTTAGAGGGTCATCAGCAAAAGATACTAAGTGAGTTTGGATAAGCTGGATAAACTTTTAAGATTTCGCAAAGTATTGGACCAACAGAGCAGTAATCCCAATCTTTTTAGTTTTGAGTATACCACTCTCACACTTTGTGCTTCCCTGGTTGGAAAACACTGCAGTAAAGTAAGTAAGTAAGTAAGTATAGTAGTAGTAAGATAACTAAGCATCCCACATTGTGGGATGTCGGATGAATTGTAGGAGTTCCCTTGCTGATTTTCTATAATTTCGTAACGGACATGTGGGTGTGATTACTATAATATACAAAGACTGTATATAAATGGACATAGCTAACCCGCTAGCCACTGCTTTCCAAATAGGAAGTGAACATGGCAGCGCTTCTGGCTCCATCGACTCTACATCCATGGCTACATGACTTTACATTGAAAAATGGTCACCCCTCTCTCTGTAACTGCTGCAATCAGGCTCACCAGTTTGTTCTTATACTGTTAAACCCCTGTACGTGATCCTGATGTTTTTATTTCCCTATTTGTCTGTAAATAAATTCCTATTCCTAATATGCAACTAGGCTCCAAATTCACCCCCATAACTGCCGGCCTCATGAGCTTCATTTGACTGGAGCCAAACCCTGTGAGTGACTTATTAATACAGTCTATGGCATTACATCAATACAATTGGCAAAATATACTATAGTAACATAGCCAGGCTGGCACCACCTAGTGCTTCCACTGAATTTCATTTCTCTCCAGCAACTAGGTCAGGAATCAGAATACACTAGATGGTTTGCAAAAACCCCGGAAGTACGAGTTTGGCGCCAGCCAATCCACGAAGAGCCATATATTCTGTGTTGGCAACAATTCCTGAGATTGAGAATTTTAAAGCTGGAGCAAAGAGAATGTTTGGTGAATTTTATCAAGGGGAAAGATGTTATTTCCCTTCTTCCTATGGGATTTGGGAAAAGCTTAATATACCAGTTAGCCCTGTTAGTGGCGCAATACATACATCACGACCAAATAGCAGCGATTGGTTAAATGAAAAAAAGTACTCACCTACTGTCGAGTGAATGAAGTGAAACCGGCTGATGAATCAGACTAATAGTAACAAACCAACCGGTTAAAAACGTATGTGTTTACTGCTTTACATAGTCTGGTGATAGTATCTTTTTGGCTGTATGCTCAGTATACAAGGACAAAAGGCGTCACACTTTACTATAACACTGCACCCAACTCTTTCTCTCGCCCTTTCCACACAATAAAGCACTACAGTCTTTCCAACGGCCGAAAACGATGAAGCATGGCCATCATTAGTTTTACTGGAGAAGCATAACAGCTCGGCCAATATTCATCAGCTCCACAAGTGTATCCTATTTGTCTTATGTGGATTTCCTTTAGATTCAACCCTTTACTATAGAAGATGTTGGGGACATACTGCTGTAAAAATGTAAACAATATAAAGTATGTGGCAGGGCCTAATCCAATACCATTTTTCTTCTTCTAAACCACAGTCTCTTGATACCTACTCTACACAGCATGTCCATCCTTCTCTCTTCTCCTGCCAATTATCCTCGTGTGCCCATTACGGCTCACACCTCCCTGCCCGCTTCTTTATCAATATGGAGGCCACCTATCTATTAGCCATCTCCAAGGAAACGGTAATTACCTGTGCACATGTGTTCTGCATACAATTAAAGCCGACCCCTTAATTAAAGCTACCTTGCCTACTCCCTGCCGTGTGATTGATGGCATTGGCACGCTACAAAAACAACAAGAAAAGTGGCACAGAAGGGTCTGTTTGTGCCAAGATGGTCAATAAGGTATGGCATTGTCCAATCTGGCATGAGTTATAAAGATCTTTGAATTTTCTCTTCTGGGATCTCCAAAGCCAATCTTCTGCTTCTTAGATTGAATTATAGAGTTTATTCAGACTTTGAACTGGAACAAAGGACTGTGCAATGGCATGAGCCTAATCATTCTTACAGCTCCAATCTAGTACAAACATGTGTGGTGAAAATTAACAGTTATTTAAATAGTTTTGAATGTCAGGTAAAAACCATGGCCATTCATTTTATTCATTCTACAGTGGCTTTTACAGGGCTTATATTATGCTGTTTTCTGATCTACATTATATTGTTTCCTCATCACAAACACACCCAGAGTTGTATTTTGTTTCATTCACACATGTTTAACACAAAAACCCTGCATATTTAGGCTGAGCTCTTCATTCTGTTAATACAGGAAGTGCTCCATGACTTTAAACTCCATACACCATCACTAGAATAATTTTGATAATTTCAGCTCTGGAATTCTCAATCTCTACTAAATAAAAGTTAAAAGGTAGCTGTTAACTTGAAAGCCATCGCTTCATGATATCACAAGGTGGAACAGAGTAATTCCTTCAAATAATTACAAATGACCATGATTATGATTTTTTCCCCAAGCAAACAACAAAATTGAAAATGTTTGAAAATGTAGCTAGAACTATTTAAATTTTTATTTGAGTATTGCGGGGTCTGTAGAAAGACATAAGCCTATATTTCAGAGTGCCATTACTCTGTGTACATGCGTATAAAACACATGGCTAATCCAGTGCTGCAGAGGTGCGGAGAGTGGCGCGCTGTGCTTGGCTGCTCACTGGTAATGTGTTGACCTCTTCATGTGAACAGGGCCAACGCTGGTGACTTAACACACTCACACTTCTCACAGGGTCAAGGGCTTACGGAGGATTGAAATGGCCCTCTGTGAGTCTTTTATTGACCTGTGGAGCTGACGGACACGCTGACAGTAAACAACAGGAGACATGAGGTCACAAATCTGCCACCCATCATGTCATTAAGATGTATAGACACACAGCAGGGGTCCACCCAGCCAATCGACAAGTTTATGGAGCTCCACAGAGACCGACCACCACTCGGTCCTATTTCATTCCATTCCATATTTTCCATAGACTTAAAATAAAATAAATAAAATAAAAGTTTGAAAGCCAGCAGCTAACCTATAATTTTATTAAAATTGGTTTCTGAATCTTGAAAAAGTCACAGTATAGAGCTTTGTAGCCATAAAATACACTGCAATAAAAGCATGTTTTTGCATTGTGTTCGTGTTTATTGCACTGAAAAAGATTCGTTCTTACACTGAGCCAGCTTGCATCTCTACAAACTTGACTCTTATTTGGCTTGAAGTTGTTGTTCCTTTGGCTATAATCTTCCACATAACTGGTCAATCTTTGTTGTGCCTTTAAACTCTTAATATTTGAAATTTTCAAATGGAAAAAATCCATGGTAAAAAATGAATGGGAGATGTACTTCTGGAACCACAGCAGGCATCAAAGGGGCAGAACTGCTGAGTTCCATTCAAACAACAGCTGCAATTTAAAATGATAAAACACTTGCACAACACTCATCGTTTTATTCATAATTGGGTGTTGGGATGTTTTATCCAGTTTCATGATTTTTCGGAATATAATGTCTGTGTTTCTTGATTTCTGTTCATTTTGTCCCAAAGCCTAAACCTCATCATATGTACACATGTTTGAACAGAAAACATTGAGACCCCAGAAGTGTACAGTCAGCTCTTGTATAACATGCATTTGCTTAATCCATGTGTATTCCCTTAAAGCACTGCTATATTCACTGGGCCTGACTGGCTCAAAGGCAGAAAAGACTTGAATTTGCTGTTGTTAAAGCGGAATAGACGAGCGGTCCAATTGGTTGCACAACAAGAGAGAAACATTGGATTTGTTCACATGCCGACACCTGCCAACACGGAGGCAATCCAAATAGCAGCATGTGCCGATAGAGCAGAGCACACACATACTATGGTGTCTGTAAGCTCCTTACCAAAGCCCGGGATCAAATGCACTCGGAAACTGTGAGGCTGATTTCCAGTGCGCCCAATGCAGTGGGGTATGAGCCAGCCGCGATGTGAGAGTCCACTGGCTGGCTACAGATTCAACACGCACTGCAGAGAAATGGGGCTAGAGAATGTAGGCCATGGAGGAAAGCAACTTAACCAAACAGAATAGCAGAGTTCAGCCATTTTAGGAACTGCTATTTGGGTCTTTAAACAACACATAACATAAAAAACAATCTCTACATGTCCACAAGTGGCACTGTAGGTTCTCCACTTGTAGGCCAGTGGGATATATTGCTGAAGTAAATATATATGATAAATTATACTGAAACAAATTTATTCCACTGACACAAATCTAGATCTACAATGTAAAAACGTGAATTGCAATAAATAAACAGCAGAATGAAACACTAGTACATAGTTTGTCTCTGTAATGAGTGATAGAAGTTCTCAGTTCAA